GCCCTGTTCGGATACTGTTTACCTCTCGCCTGGACTATCGCTTGTGTTTCGGACTACCCCTTTGGATCACCCTGTTTGGACATTGTTCGCCGGAGATCGACCATGCCCGTTTACTGGACTACTCTTGTGTTTTGCCCACGTAATACCTGTTTGCCATTGTTTGACCCACGCCTGTTGTATGACCACGTCTTGGAAATAAAGCCTTGCATATGGATCCGCACGTCTCACGTCTCGTTCGCCCCGTTACAGGATGTACTTCTGTCTGAAAATTATTTATTTATACTAAATGTTTTAGGAATTTGCTTAGTGTTCCTTAGTAATTTCCTTTTTCTCTTTTTAGGCCACTGATGAAGAACAGGTGGTGGACTGGGATGAATGCTGGTCAAAGAGGAGAATGACCTTCCCCCCAAACTGATGCAACAGTGGTTTTAAAGGAGGAGGCTGCCAGTGTTGCCAACTAATTTTTTTCAGGGAAAGTTGCTAAAGGCAGGTCGATTTGTTGCTAAATGATGTTGTGATGTCATTGCGTGATGATGTCATTACATAAATCACAACGTAAACCTGCAGCATTGCGTAGAATACACAATCAGATTACACAAATCTCAGCAAAAAAAATATGATTTGAAATGTTAATTTAGATTTATTCGTATAAATAATACAAATACATAATAAAATAATATTTAAAGGTAGAGACCTGCACTCCCGCGGGAGTACCGCGGGATCCGCGGGACCCAACGCAACAGAGTGCGGTGCAGGACAACTCTTGATGGGCGAGTGCGGATGCAGGCGGGAAGAGACTCGTGTGTGCGTGGGATGCGGGAGAATAAAATGATTCGCGGGACTCCCGCAAAATAGAAATTTTCTAAACATAAAGTGTCTAAAACATAAAAATTGTTATTTATATGTTGCACAAAAACAAAAACTAATAGCTATTAACATTAAAATGATTGACATGTGCAAGCTAGGCAGAGTTTCTATTTATAACACGTGTTTAAAGGATTGCGCAATGTAGCCAATCACAGACATAGCTGTTGATTTCTGGAACGCAATGGCCAACCAGAGGTGATTCAGTTAGAATCTACTCACCGCAGTGCTGAAATTGCGTGCTCGCGAATCGTCTCATTTTAACACAAGAAGTGTAGACATTGTGAAAGATTCATTGTGCATATGTTCATTGTGTTATAACAGAGCTTTATGAGATAGAGATTAACTGAGATGTCAGCTTTTAGTGATAATAAAGGAAGCGCTGCTCGCATTCTGCCATGCCAAACCATGCACGCAGCAGCCCATGCTTGCTTTTCTGTTAAAAATAACAGTGGTTTGTGAATGTTGATGCTTAGCCTAAATAACAAATATTTTATCGGGAGTGTTTATGCTGGGATGTTGTGGAGCTTAGGAGATGTTACAGAACCAATATAATGTAAATTTCTTCGATGTACTGAAAAAGTCTATATAGATTTGCAGCCATATTTTCTGTTTGAATCTATTATTGAAGTAAAATGTTGCTGGTGGGTTTGAGAAGGAGCTTAATATCAGAACTGGAGGATCTGGTGGATTCAGTAACAGATATGTCACCTCTTTTACATCAAGATCACAGTTTATGTCACTTTTTTTTTTTTTTTTAATCTGTTAAAGTCTCAGCAATTTGACACTATCTGAGCAGATCTGTCAGGAAAACAAAATCAGATAATACAGATTTAAAACATTTGTGCTAACACATCATAAATCCTCATGATAACTGTCATAAGAAATGTACAATGGACAGTAAACTTAGGCTACTGAAAAGAAGGAACATCATCTTCATGATATTAAAACACTTCAGCATGATTCAGTCTTGTTTGTTTCACAGGACTTCAGAGATTAAACTTTACCTCACAGCTTTCCAATTAACAGGGTGATTTTAACCACATCCAAGAGGAAGTTAAAGACATAATCATAACCATATATAACATACACACGCTACATACATTACATGCATACCGACAATAACAAAAATAGAAATAGATCTAGTGAATTTTTAATGATTTTTTCCGCACACGTTCTCTGTGAAATAATAATAAAAAAACAATTACGTTTCAGACTTAATTGCTGACTAAACTGCACATCTACAGTCAATTATTTCGAGTTTTCGAGTAGTTAACTCCGTTTTACTTCATTTTTTGTGACAAAACATGATATATATGATGTGATGATGAACACCCGAGATGAAGAAGTTTGGGTAAAGGAGCGAAATTAAGCTTTTCGTTAATCTGAATCAACTGAATCAATTGCTTCGCAAAATGATTCCCTGTTTCTAATCGCTCAAAACTCCACATGCTGCCGGCATCTGCTGATCAAAAGGGTGTAAATCCACTGAAAACTCAATCCAAACATGTATAATGAATGACACATTTACAAACCAACGCTGCAATCGTTTTCATGAATATATTAAATGTAATCAAACAGCCTAATAATAATAATTATACAACTAAATAATTTGCCACTAATAGCCTATCAATTTGTAATAATAATTATAAATAATTACATAGTATTTAAAGTTCTCTAAATATGTGTTCTTATATTAATGTGTGTAGTGCTTGTATTTAGCCTACCATTATTTAATCAATTTACTGTTTGATCAAGCCAGGATTAAGAGATATCGAATGTGAAACTTAACCGCGCGCTGACACAGCAGTAAACACATAAGCGATGCTGGTCTCTCGGAGCACCTTGTCGGAGAACCTGGCGTTAAACGTAGCATCACTATAAATAAATGAATCGGAATTAATAAGGTATGGTGACAACGCTGCACAAGTCGTTTATACAGTTTCTGGAGCGCATGATGGAAATTAGGTATGTATAACTTTATATCACAATCATTTTCGAAAACAAACGTCAAAGCGACTTGCTAGCGGGATCCTCCCTGCTGAAAAAAAAAACCCAATAGAACCATCACAGAAAATTCTATTGGTTTCCACTACAAATACCATTACAAACATTACAAACCATCAACTTTTAACCATTAAAAAATGGGTTTTACGTAGTGTGTTTTGGGCAGTGGTGTAGGCCTAGTCTAGTTTTTTGTAGTGAGTATACTGTGATTTTTTCCACCCAGCTCAATAAACGCATGAACAACAGTTTCAGCATCTTTGAAATTTAAAGATGTTTTTTTAAATTTAAAAATTTACATGTTGATGTCACACAAGCAGTCTTTCAGAATGCTCTCAGACGCAAACTGTATGCATTAGTGACCAATAGAACCATCACAGAAAATTCTATTGGTTTCCACTACAAATACCATTACAAACATTACAAACCATCAACTTTTAACCATTAAAAAATGGGTTTTACGTAGTGTGTTTTGGGCAGTGGTGTAGGCCTAGTCTAGTTTTTTGTAGTGAGTATACTGTGATTTTTTCCACCCAGCTCAATAAACGCATGAACAACAGTTTCAGCATCTTTGAAATTTAAAGATGTTTTTTTTTATTTAAAAATTGACATGTTGATGTCACACAAGCAGTCTTTCAGAATGCTCTCAGACGCAAACTGTATGCATTAGTGAGTGTGGTGGTGCTTATGGGGTGTCGCTCTGGGACGGGTGTCTGGATTACTGTAACTCCTTGTTTTTTGGCCTACCCAACAAAGGCCTTAATCGCTTGCAGCTTATCCAAAATTCAGCTGCTCGTGTTCTTACATTTACCAAAAACATCTGCCCACATCGTATGTCCGCTATCGTATTCAGTTTAAGATTCTTGTTTTAGTTTTCAAGGCCCGTCATGGTTTAACACCTTCTTACCTTTCTGAATTAATTCTCTCCTATGTCCCTGCACATACGTTGAGATCGAGCTCTGAAAATGTGCTTGCAGTACCCAAATTCTGGCTATCTGCATTTCCGCTGTCAAGCTCTGGAATAAACTACCACAATATCTGTTATCTCTTCACTCCCAGACCTTTAAAACTGCTCTCAAAACTCACCTATTTACAATGTTTCTTAATTAACTGCTTGCCTTAATTTTCTGTTCTATGCTTTTGTACCTTATCTTGTATATTGCATATTATTTCACCTCTGTCTGCTGTTTGGCTGTTTATATGTTGTATACTATCTGTTATTTACCTTATGTAAAGTGTCCTTGGGTGTTTGAAAGGCGCTATATAAATAAAAATTAAAATGACACACAAATGCTTTGAATTACGTACGATTATTTTTGACAGCGATTTTATTCCATAGATAATGACCTCTTGTGGTGAACAAACGGAAGTTCAAAGACCGGATTCGTGACATGATGCTTAGGCTTGCATGAATAATTTCTGTTTGAATCTATTATTGAAGTAAAATGTTGCTGGTGGGTTTGAGAAGGAGCTTAATATCAGAACTGGAGGATCTGGTGGATTCAGTAACAGATATCTGTTATTTACATTATGTAAAGTGTCCTTGGGTGTTTGAAAGGCGCTATATAAATGAAACGTATTATTATTGTATTATTATTATTATTTATTAATTTATTATAAGCAACACAATACTTTAACAGCCAATGACATTTACAGCTGGGGACTGGACTGATTTTCTACTGTTGAACCAGTTAAGAGCTACATTTATCCTTAGATAGTATATGAATATGGTCCAGGATTTATCAGATGGCAATTTTCAATGCACATTTAAGAGTGCCTGTTTTTTAATCCCTAGCCTGACTTTCAGTCCACAAGGCTGGCCAATCTCTCTCATCATCTGAAACAAGGAGATATAACTTGTATTCGGTTTACTGCTGTAGCCTACACAGACACACACAGTATCTAAAGAGAAATATTAAGGGAATAATTCAAGACAGTTTTATGCAGTTATCAGCATATGTTGAAGTAGATTCGTCTCTTGTCGTCTCTGAGAGAATATGCGCCGTCAGTTTTTACTTTTTTACTTTCACTTTGTATAATATTGGCCGAGGTTAAGACGTTCACCAGCATAACTCTTGCGCAAAGTTTGCAAGCTGCTTAATATCAGCATTCATGGTTTAAAACAGAAATATTTCCAATATTGCGACGTAACATTTTCCATTACAACCATAAGTCCCATTATAACCAGTAAAACCATTAAACATTTAGTTTATTTTATAAAATTTATAGTAAAGTGTTTTTGAACCATACTACACTGTAAATTATTTCCAGGATTTCACAAGATGTTACAGTAATATTTCACAGTAAATTACATTATTATCACTTCACAGGCTTTAACAAAGTAAAGTAAAAGTAAATACTGCAGGCGGGGCAGTTACAGGAAACTACTGTGAATTTGCGCGCGATTTTTCATCCGAGCTCTCTCGTCTCCGCCGAGATCTCATCGACGGATTCAGCAGTAAGTGTTAAAATGTCAAATTCTGTCAATTTAATGACTGTTTTTCATATATATATATATATCTGATAGTGCATGTAATTTAAAAGTATTAACCAAATAGCGTTACAGTAGTTGTAGGTTTTGGTTAACATTCTTGCATAGGTTTGAGCGCGCCAATTTTTTAAACAAGAAATGAACAGACATTGGTTGGTTGTAGTATTAATTGTACCGTATTAAGTTGATATCTAACTGAGACATGAAGCCTTATTTGAAAAAAAAGGTAATTATCTGTTAACTTTAACATGAGCTTTTCTTAGAGCTAACAGCGTTCTCTCTTTCCCTGCTATTCTCTCCTCAGCATTTTTTCTGCGGTGACCACTGGGGAATAAAGTTGTAAGGTAAGCTGTGGCCTTCACCTAGGAAATGTATTTTATATTATCAACCAGATAAATTATACTGTCGTGGATTAGGGAAAAGATCGAGTAAAATCATCTCAAAGTGGTTCAGTAGTGTTTAGTAATTTTTTTTTGCGTGTGATCCTAATATGTTAACTTGGTGTTATTAGGGCAGTCTTCTAGCTATAATTATCCAAAATCACAGGATTGTTGGTTTTAAATCCCTGTTAGCTCCATATTTTGTTTTTCTCAACAGAATAGAAAACGATTTTCAACTGTAAATTCAGTTCGTGTGAGCATGTGTCTGAGACTGTTATTGAGTTTGTTCAGCACTCAAAACTGCATAGCAACGCTCCCAATTATAAGTACCATTGTGGTGTGCCTGAATGCTCTCGTATGTATCGCACAGCAAATGTATTAAAAACTCATATGTATAGAAAGCATAAAGGGCTTGGATCATCTGTGCAACCTTGCATGCAGTTTGAAACTCCCTTAAAATGTGTGGCTCTGTTTTGTACAGTTACATGTGACACCTTAAGCTCCCTCATCAAGCATTTGCACAAATTTTGACTCTGTGCTACCATAGGTGCAGATTTTTAAAGGGATAGTTCACCCAAAAATGAAAATTAGCCCATGATTTACTCACCCTCAGGGCATCCTAGGCGTATCTGACATTCCTCTTTCAGACGAACACAATC